CCATAGGGGTTAAAGGACAATGCTGGGCCCAAGTAGTCCCACCCCTCAAGACCAGCAGAGCATGCTCCAACTGGAGAAAAAGTTGAAAAGGGAGCAACTCAGCCCAGAAGGGGGAAGGCTGGGGAGGAAGACAGACCTACCTGGAGAGCTGTGGGACAAGCATGCTGGAGAAGCCACTCTGAGAGGAATAAGACTATGTGCTGAGCCCAGTTGGGCTGAAGTTTTCTTTTTCTTTTTACCTTATATTGGACTTGGAGCTGCGGGAGGAAGTGGATGGTACGAAGTGACCCAGGTAGGGTAACTTAGAGGGCACTCTAGGGTGCCAGACACTGACCCTTTTAAGGTCCTGGGTTGGAGCTTGGTGCAGTGGGAGGGCCTAGGTTCCCCTATCAATGACCCCTGCTGCAAGAGGGGCATAAGCCTCATGCCCAACTTGCCTCCCCTCTGGTAAGAAGAGTGACTGGATGGAAAGACCTTCCAGCTGTGAGGTGGCACTACGTGCTCTACCCACTAGGCCATCTAGCCTGCTGATGACTCTGTTACAGTCCTGCTCCCAACAGACACCGTTCTGGTCCTGCTACTATTTCTCTGATCACTACTTTGATAGAAGTCCTGCAGGTGGTTGCAGCAGAAACCAAAGTAACTATTACAATGCTTCCAATCCAAATCAAGCATTCAACAATCAGGAGTCAGGCCCTCTTTAAAAAATTATGAGATTGGCTCTAAAATCATCAGATTTTAGAAAATAATAAATTAGGGATTATTTTATTTGCTTTCCTGCTGTTTTAAGGTTAAGATTTTCAAACTTTTTTCTGTTACCATGAGGACTAGGAACTCTTTCAAAGTGAAAACTAAGATTCCAGGAGCTAGGGCTTTAGGATAAACACCAAATATTGTGCAACTTCTGATGAAATCAGGGTTGACAACACAATTTTGTATATACCTCCCAGGGTACACGTTCACTGAAGAAAAAGGTGTGTTAACTCATGTCAGTTTTCACAAGGTGAAATCCTAGTGGAAACAAGGTGGGTTTGTAATTTTCACATGGGTTAGCAGGTTGAGGTAAACATTAGGCCCTTTAGTAGGTTGAGGTAAGGACTATGAGCATGCCTAGGTTTACTTCAACCTGCTAACTCATATGAAAACTACAGACTGCCTTATCTCCACTAGGATTTCACTTAATGTCACCTAACGTAAGAAAAGAAAACACTTTTTTTCCTAGTGAAGAAAAGATCACCCAGACAAAATGAGACTCAGGCCCTAGTGTAATCTGTGGCAATCACACTATGGAAACTGGCAGTGCCAGATTGCTACCAGCCAGTGGGAAGTCCCTTTGATGTGGGAAAATCCACTGTGGAGGCTACTTTGAAGCAAGCTTGCAGGGCCATTACTCATCTCCTGTTACCCAGGCCTGTGACTCTCAGCAATGTGCAGGATATAATGGATGGCTTAGCTGCTATGGGGTTCCCAAACTATGGTGGAGCAATAGACAGCACTCACATCCCTATTTTGGCCCCAGAGCACCTTGCCGCAAAGTACATCAACAGAAAGGACTATTTTTTTCATGCTTATGCAATTGCTGGTGGATCACTGGGGATGCTTCACTGATATCCACGCTGGCTCATCAGGGAAGGTGCATGATGCTCACTCCTTTGAGAACACAGGACAGTTCAAAAAGCTACAGGTGGGACCTTCTTTCCCAACCGGCACATTACCATTTAAATGCCAAGAGTCATCTTGGGGGATCCAGCCTACCCTTTACACCCCAGCTTATGAAGCTGTGAACTGGCTACCTCAAGAGCACCAAGGAAAGATTTAGCTCAGTCTGAGCAGGTGCGGAATGAAGTTGAATGTGCTTATGGTAGACTCAGAGGGCGCTGGCATTGTTTGCTCACCAGATTGGATCTCAGTGCAGAAGATACCCCAGAGGTTATAGTGGCCTGTTGTGTCCTGCATAACATTTGTGGCAAGATTTCACCCTTTGCTTCACAAGGGTGGAGGTAGAGAAGCTGTCTGCTGAATTTGAACTGGCAGATACTAGAGCTATCAGACAAGCGCAACAAGGAGCTAAGGGAGGCTTTGAAAGAACACTTTAACAGCTAGCTGCAATAATGTGCTTTGTTGTACAGGGCTGAATCTTGGCACTGCAGCTTGGGGAGCCCGTTATGAATTATGGTGCTTGCTGCACATCTGTGCATATATCACTGACAGTGCACCTACTAATGTTGGGGTGCTTGCCATACATTTATGATGACTACACTGTTTGGCACTGATCCAATAGGTTGTGTGTGTACAAGACCACTACTTTCACTGTCAGTAGGCATTACACACTAAGTGTTTGCAAACTGATAGATGAATAATTTTCAAAACAAGTTTTATTCACTTACAGGCACAACTCCAAAAAAGTCTGAAACTTAAAAGTAAATATGTTTTAACTAAATTCTTTAAAAGAAATCTTAAATAAAAGGAAGGAACACTGATGTCCATTATACCTACACATACATCAGCTGTGGCTCTCACAGGTCAGTGTAGGTGAAGCAGTGAATGTTCATGCTTTCCCCTGGTTTGGCATGGTAGGGATAGGTGTGCAGGCCTTGAGGTCATGTGCAATGCTGAGCGGAGGGAGCATTATGCTGCAGTTTTACACAGATTCCAATGGGAGATGGGCATGGGATTGTTGAACCTGTAGGGCCACAAGAGGCTGCACCATCTGAATTTGCTGACAGAGAAGCTCCATTATGTCCACATGCATGTCCCGCTCCTTTTCCTCTGCCTTTCTCCTGTCTGCTCTTTCCCTCTCCATACAAACTGCACTATTGACCTTGCAGGCCCTTTTTCAGGATCTGATGCAGCACTAGCTTGCAGGATCTCACAGAACATGTCCTCCCGTGTCTTTTTATTTTTTTTAACTCATCTGGGTCAGACCCTCCTCTAGTGTGGAGGGCAAACCCCTCAAGGCCAACACAATTATGGATAAAACACACAAAGGAACTATTGTCAGGATAGTAGGAATGGAAAGTGAAACTAAAATTTCACCTCCCCTCTTCCGCCTAAAGCAGTGGTGGGCAACCTGCGGCGCATGGGCTGCACACAGTCCGTCAGTGTAATCCGCTGGCGGGCCACAAGATAGTTTGTTTACATTGGCCGTCCACAGGCATGGCCACCCTCAGCTCCCAGTGACCGCGGTTCGCCGTTCCCGGCCAATGGGAACTGCGGGAAGCAGCAGCCAGTACGTCCCTGAGGCCCGCACTGCTTCCCGCAGCTCCCATTGGCTGGGAACAGCAAACCGCGGTCACTGGGAGCTGTGGGTGGCTATGCCTGTGGACGGTCAATGTAAGCAAACTGTCTCGCGACCCGCCAGCGGATTACCCTGACAGGCTGCAGGTTGCCCACCACTGCCCTCAAGTGTTTAACAAGACATGCTTATTGACACTTGACCTTTGGAGTGCTTGTGCCCAGGGCCACTCACTCACCATGGCTTGAACTGAATGGCCCACCAGGGATGAGGGAAAGGAGGAGGGAATTGCTCAGTTGCATGAAACTATGAGCAGAGGGCACTGGCATTGAATATTGGCATCATTTTCCACAGGCAGTGGTGATTCTAGCTAATATCTCATTCCTGAGGGTAACATAAGGCACAGAGACTACAGCTGCTGCTGGCATCCCAAAGCTGCCCAAGCCTGAGTGCTGCTAGCCTGTTCATGAAAATGGTGCCTGCCAAAGTTATTCCTTTCTGGTGTGGGAAAGTATTTTTCTGTGGCAAAAGAAACATGGCTGCCATCCCTAGAAACCTTCAGGAGGATTGCAGTGTACCTCCATGGAAGTTTCATTGAGATCTCAGGAGGATTCAAGGGACAACCCTGTGTACAACTCCTCTGCATGCCCCCCTTGCCTAGAGGGGAATCAAAAGCAAGTATCAACTTCACCTCTTTGTTGCACCACTACTTCTTGTTGTACGAGAAAATTAATTAGAAGTCAATAGTTGTGCCCTGCTTAGTTGGTGGCACCATTGCAGTAATGGGAAATTTATTTACACATTATCCAAGGCTCCTTCTCCTGCATCAGCCTCACCTGGGTTCAACTGCAGGGACTGGATGGATTGTGGTGGAGTCAGTCCTGGCTCCTGGCACAACTGGATCCCCTGGTTGCCGATACCCCATACTCCTCATCCTTGCTGTTCATGGCAGGGGCCTGTGACTTGGACACCTCAGAGGTATCCATGATGGCATGTGGAGTGGTGTGATCTCCACCAAGTATGGGATGCAGCTGTTTGTAAAAGCAGCAGGTCTCTGGTTTGGTACTGGATTGATTGTTGGACTCCCTGGCCTTCTGGGGTACACCGTACCTTAACTTTCATGGGGCACTGCTGCTGTTTCCTGTTGTACCCCTTTTCCTGAATTCCCTGAGGAATCTGCTTGTTGATGTCTCTATGGCTGGTTCAGCACAATGCCTGCACAGCCTCTTCTCCCCACAAGCTCAGGAGATCAAATATCTCCCATCTATTCCAGGCAGGAGCATGACTGGAGTGTGTAACCAGTATTGTTCGCTGGAAAGTTGCGCACAGTAGAAAGCAGCTAGCGGTGTGCTCATGAAGCTAGATAACCAGAGAAAGGAATTTCAAAAATTCACACGGTTTGTGTGTGACAGTCTGTACGCTATGCTCACCTCTTTTACAGGACTATGCAAATTTGTAGAAAATTATTTCTTGTAAGGTATCATTTGAAAATTCATAATTTGCTGATCATTATTGCACTGCTAAAATGTGTGTCAACATTGTAAGTAAAGTTAAGATTCTATTGTATGATATTACTAAGACATGTTTGAACTGAGGAGCAGTCACAAACCAATTCCCCCAGAGACAAAAGGCTAGCCAATGCCTCAGCCAGGTGTCAACAAGATCAGATGGACCATCATCTGGTTAAGTGGCCATTCTTTGCCAGGAAAGAGGGTGTGAGTGAAAAATGTCTACATCTTGACAAAGAAACCTCCTGTCCACACAGATTTTGTCTCCTGAACCTCAGCTGGAGATGCTTCTTGAGGAAGAGAAAGAACTATAAGAAACAAGAGCAGATGCACCAAAAGATCTCTCCTTTTTTAATCTACTCATGGCATCAACAACACCAGAAAGAACAAAGAAAACAGTTTTGGACTGGGGGAGGGATCCTGACTAAAAGAAATTCAGCCAGCAAGTCAGCTGAAACATGTGGTAAGAATGACTTTGTTTTGAATTCACTTAGCTTGTTAAGTTAGACTTTAGTTGCAATTTACTTCTGTTTTCTTGTAACCAATTCTGACTTTTATGTCTCATTATTTGGAATCATTTAAAACCTATCCTTCTGTAGTTAAACTTGTCTTACTGTTTTATCTAAACCAGTGTGTTTTGATTGAAGTATTTGGAAAACTCCATTTGGGATTACAGGATTTGTGCATATCATGTTCTACTAATAAAATGACAGACTTTATATGAGCTTGAATTGTCTAGGAGAGAGATGGGCAATACAACACTCACATTGCTGGTGGAGGTCTGGGACCGGGAATTTGCTGGTGTTTCTCTGCAGTGTAATTCAGGAGTGCTTGGCTATAGTACTCATACAATATAACTGGGAGTAACTTACGTGCTGGAGGCTGTGTGAGAGCAGACCAGAAGTGATAGTTCTTACAGCAAAGCAATGTAAGAGTCCCCCCAATTCGGAGAACTGAGGGGACACAGCTGTTCATCAGTCCAGATTGTGCCTTGGGAAATGTCACAAGCTGGAAGCACCCATGGGACTCCAGGCAGTGGAGTTCACAACTGTGACCAGAGCAATCAGTGTCAGGCATTGTGGGACAGCTGCTGGAGGACTGTTAGATTTGACATAAGTAACTCAATATCTCCACTCATGCTGCATTGACCTCAGTACATTGATCTTGGCTCAATGCTGCTTAGTGAGCTGGTGTTACTCTGGCATAAGGGGACCCTTACACCAGTGAGAAATGAATTTAAGTGTAGACACATGCACAACTAGGTTGACACAAAATGGCTTAGTCTCCCTGCTCTGCCCCCACCTCTGCTGCAGTGAGGTTGGAAAGCTCTTTTCAATTTCATTACTGAAACTGACAAAGACTTCTAAGCTGGTGGCTGGGAAGCCAAAAAATTCCCTTTTGGGTCTCCTGAAATGGAATTTTTCTTGAAAACCTGTCCTCTGGAAAAAAAAATGTAGTGGTTTTTACTATTGTCCCACTTTAGGATGATTATTTTTTTCAAAAATGCAAAATTTTTCATGGGAAGGGATTTCCATGTTCTGATCAGCTCTAATTAGAAGTTTACTTGCTGACAAGGACAGCATCATAAGTGATTCCTAATGCTCCCATACAATAGCTTGCTTAAGTGTCTGCTGCTGTATGAATTTTATTTTCTCATTAGAAAGAGCTTTAATGTGTTTTTAAAGAACACTGAATCTTTATAGCATGTTTTGTTATTATCAACTTTACTAACACATGAGGGATAGAACCATAACCATTAACCTGATTTAGCCAATTTAAAGCTAAATTGCTCTCAAGTCCCTTCCTGTACAAATGAATGAATCAATCATATTAATGTGTTCACAGCATCCTGAGATTTCAGGCAATTCTCCTGTAACATATGAGTGTTTGCTAATGTTAGTGCTTCTGAATAGCATTATTTAAACTATTTTTTTCTTCGGGGGGCAGGACTTATTCTTCTACCAACTCCTTGAGATTCCAGAACTTTTTTTTTTAGTAACTTTCACTAAGCCTACATTTCTGGGTGAGTCCTCCTTATTGTAAATCTGGTGATAAGACTGCTTTTACCTTCATGGCTTGTGTACTACTTTTAATGTAGCTTTCTGCAAGATGAGGCAGCCTATTAAGGCTAATGATACTTTACCCTCCTTTTGTAAAGTGCTTTCTGATTCTCTTATCAAAGGTGCTGTAAGTACAGAATATTATTAGTAATAATAGTATTAATAATATTACTAGTAATTATTATTTACAGTAGTTTTGCCAGCTTGTTGCAATCCCTAATGGCAAACTTCTTTTGTCTCTGTCTCCTGTGGATAATGTCCTACTTCACCTGATATACTTTCTAATTCTGGAATGTTTTCTTTTCCTCAAATCCTTTGAACATATTTTTAAATGTTGATGCTGCTTTACCAGTTTGTTCTTCCACAGCCCCCACCAGACACTTCATCATTCATTCATTCTTCATTCTGTTTATTGCCATTAGTAGGAATATGTGAGACTTCACCATGGGCATTTAAGCCCCAATCCTGAAAAGGTACTAAACCAGCGGTGGGCAATTTGTGGCCCGTCAGGGTAATCCACTGGTGGCCCACGAGACAGTTTGTTTGTTTACATTGACCTCCTGCAGCTCCCAGTGTCCGCGGTTCGCCATTCCTGGCCAATGGGAGCTGCTGGCAGCCGTGCCTGCGGACGGTCAATGTAAACAAACTGTCTCGTGGCCCACCAGCAGATTACCCTGATGGGCCGCAAGTTGCCCACCACTGGTTTAGAGTATATACTGTGTACCTTCAGAACATGGAAAAACCACCCACAGTCCAGTTGTGCTGCTGATGCTCTTTATAGTTTGACATACTGGTAATATTTCTACTTCTGAAACATCACTCTGCTTTGAGAAGCTGTTAGGGCCGAGAGCAGCATGTTGCTTGCTTGCCCTGGCAGGAGAGGAGAGTCCTTTGTGAGGACAGCATGACCGCTTTCAGTTCTGCACATAGCAAAACCTTTTATGACTTATCAGACCAAGAGGGGTGGCACCTTCTCCTCAGGTCGTGTGACTCATCTTCATAAAATTAGTTTTTGCCCTGGGCTTTCCACTGTCTCAGCTGACCCTGCTTCAGTAAGAGCGGTCACTCAGCTGAAGCTGCAGCAGGTACTGACACGTTCTATCTAGACATGTCGGCATCTACCGGTGCAGAAGTTTGCATGATAGTAGTATTGAATACCTACCACCCCGGGTACATTGTAAAATGTCCTGTCACCACAGAGTTTGTCCACCTGCCCTGTTTCCTGTCCTGGCTCTGTGAGGCTGCCACACACCTTTTTTGAGAGGCTGTGCTATATAGACATGACTGTGCTTGAGAAAGTAAGAAATAGTTCACTACCTTGGAAAGGAAAGGCCCTGCTTTAAGGAAAGATGTGGTCTCAGCATGTGACTTTGAGTCAGGAGCACTGATCCTTACCTTCCTCCCTGCAGAAACATTGCTGATCACAGGAAGACAAATTACTTAACATCTTAGGTTCAGGTTCCCCATCTGTGGAAGGAGAGTGTTATTTGCTTCTGTGATACTGTGCATAAGAAAGGTGACCATTTATATCACTGGTACACACTTCCCGTAAATCTTATACAAAGTATCATGTAAGGTGTAAATGGAAAAGTTATGATTTGCTAAGAATTATTTTGTGTTTATGTGCATGTATCATCTTTGTATTTGAAGTTATGAATAGTGGCTATGTACTTGTATCTTAAACCTGTGTTGTAGTCCTGGATGACACCCTCTATATCAGGGATCGGCAACCTTTGGCATAAAGAACAGGAGTACTTGTGGCACCTTAGAGACTAACAAATTTATTTGAGCATAAGCTTTCGTGAGCTACAGCTCACTTCATCGGATGCATTCAGTGGAAAATACAGTGTGGAGATTTTATATACACAGAGAACATGAAACAATGGGTGTTACCATACACACTGTAACGAGAGTGATCAAGTAAGGTGAGCTGTTACCAGCAGGAGAGGAAAACCAGCTTACACTCAAATAAATTTGTTCATCTCTAAGGTGCCACAAGTACTCTTTTTCTTTTTGCAGATACAGACTAACACGGCTGCTACTCTGAAACCTTTGGCATGCGGCCCATCAGGCTAGGAATGCTAAACTGCAGTTTGAGCAGCTCTATAGGTTCTTATGAAAGCCAGTTTCATTCAATAAAAATGGAATCCTCACCTGTTACTTGCCAGCGTGTGGTACATGCTGGGGTCAGACTGGGAGGGAAATAGGGTGATACTCTTCTAAGTTCCTCCTGCAAAATAAACTATAACAACATGCCTTGCCAAAATGACACACTGCTTTCTGTGAAGATTTCAAAATAGGATGTATTCTTTAAGATTCACTAGGCTTCTTGAGCTTGGCTCTTTGGAGTTGAATAAGGCCACAGGCTATGCTAGGCTACATGGGCTTGGCTTCTTGACTGGTGGGGGAAGAGCAATAAGTTGGATCTCCCAAATGCCAAAATGAGATGTCTTCCCAGTTCCTCGCCTTTCTTACATGAAGACTGAAATAGCTCACAATAGTGACATCTAAATAATCACTGGGCACCTGAGAACAACTCAGAAGAGCATCCATATGAGGAGAGATTCAAAAGACTGAGACTGTTCAGCCTGAAAAAGAGATGACTAAGGGGAGGGGGGATAGAAGTATATTAAATCATGAATGGTGTGGAGATAGTGAATAGGCAAGTATTATTTATCCCTTTACATAACACAAGAAGTAGAGGTCACCCAATGAAATTAATAGGCAGCATCTTTAAAACAAACAAAAGGAAGTATTTCTTCACACAATGTGGAACTCATGGCCAGGGAATGTGGTAAAGACCAAAAATATAACTGGGTTCAAAAAGAATTAAACAAGTTTGTGGAGGTCCATCAATTGTATTAGCCAAAATAGAGACACAACCCCATGCCCTGAATGTCCCTAGCCTCTGACTGCCAGAAGCTAGAGCTGGACACTGGGGATGGATCTCTCGTTAGTGACCCTGTTCTGTTCCTTCCCTCTGAAGTATCTGGCATCAGCCACTGCCAAAGACAACGTACTGGGCTATATGGACCATTGGTCTGACCGAATATGGCCGTTCTTATGAGATAACACCACACTGGGACGAATGGGGCAGTTCACACTCTCAGAGTTATTGTTGCAGACTCTAGACACCTTTGCATTGGTTAAACTGTGTTCACAATTTCGAGATTTTCTTTGCACCCATATCAGCTACAGACTTAAAAAAAAAAAAGCTGAGATTTTGGAGAACAAGATCGTATGAACTTCAAAAAATTGCTAATATATCATTAAGGAGCCCTAAGCATGAGGAGAGAGAGACTCTCTCTCACACACATCACTCCTCTTCCACAGCTCACAATCTGGGCCTTTATCTTTACATCAACTCTGTATGTGTGTGTAATTTCCTTTCTTGAAAGTGAAGAATTACAGAGTAAATAGCTCAAGCTTACTGCAATGACAGATTTCTTAGAAGAAAGGCAGTGAATTCACTATCACCACTGTAGCTATAAGGATAAAATCCTTGAACTGTATGCTAACTCTCAGGATAAATTTTGTTGCAAAGAGTTGACCATCAGTAAA